TGTCCTGCCTCGGATGAGCTGGAGGAAATTCATGATCTTTGATAAATTGTGCCATTGTATTCATGTGTATGTTTTTCTGTAAATGTATTCTGTTTATTAATGAATGTTCACATAGAATGTCAAATATAGGGAGTGGTAGGAGAAGAAAATATTCAAACAGCTCCGGGGAGAACCTTGAGTTTTCCCTGAGGTATGTTTATTGTCTTCTCTGAGGATGAGGGTCCCCATTCCAGCCATAGAGGTGGTACTTCCCTATATATATATAAAATATAGGGGGTGGTAGGAGAAAACAGTTTTCAAACAGCTTCAGGGAGAACCTTGAGTTTTCCCTGAAGCAAGTTTATTCTTTTCTCTGAGGATGAGGGTCCCCAGGACAGTTTTAGAGGTGGTACCTGTTGTGATCCTTGAAAGTGAGATCCTCAGACATTACTACTCCCAGGTCCTTTACATTATTTTTCCGCTCTATTGTATGGCCGGAGTCAGCAGTATACTCTGTTCTAGTTATTATCTCCTGCAGTTTTCCATAACAGAGTAGTTGGAATTTGTCCTCATTGAACATCATGTTGTTTACCGTTGCCCACTGGAAAACTTTGTTTATATCTTCTTGGAGGTTAACCGCGTCCTCAGCAGATGACAGCCTCATGCAGATCCTAGTATCATCCGCAAAGGATGATACGGTGCTGTGGTGTATATCTCTGTCTATGTCTGATATGAGGATAAGGAATAAGATGGGGGCGAGTACTGTGCCTTGTGGAACAGAGCTCTTCACTATGGCAGCCTCCGATTTAACTCTTTTGACCACTACTCTTTGTGTTCGATTTGTTAGGAAGTTGAAGATCCATCTCCCCACTTTCCCAGTTATTCCTTTAGCACGTATTTTATGGGCTATTACACCATGATCGCATTTGTCAAATGCTTTTGCAAAGTCTGTATATTACATCTGCATTCTGATTTTCTTCCTGTGCATCCAAGGCCATGTCATAGTGATCCAGTAGTTGTGAGAGGCAGGAGCGACCTGCCCTGAACCCATGTTGCCCTGGATTGTGCAGATTTTGGGAATCCAGGTGATTTGCAATCCTGCTTCTTAGCACTCTTTCAAAGATTTTTATGATGTGGGACGTCAGAGCTATTGGTCTATAGTTCTTAGCTAATGCTTTGCTGCTACCTTTATGGAGTGGGGCTATATCCGTTGTTTTAAGTGACTGTGGAATTTCACCCATGTCCAAGCTCCTCCTCCATAGTATACTTAGGGCACGAGAGAGGGGTTTCTTGCAGTTCTTAATGAAAACAGAGTTCCACGAGTCTGGGCCCGGGGCTGAGTGCATAGGCATGTTGTCAATGGCTTTTTTGAAATCTGTCGGAGTTAGGGTAATGTCGGAAATGTGGCATACAAATATTTTTGGAGTTTTGAATCTCATTCATGAAGAAATCATTTGGGTCGTCGATCCTCAGACCGATTAGTGGTTCACTAAACACAGATTCGTACTGGGATTTCAATATTTCACTCATTTCCTTGTTGTCATCTGTGTAAGTCCCATCCTGTCTGAGTAAGGGCCCGATACTAGATGTGGTATTTGCCTTTTTTTTGGCATATGAAAAGAAATATTTTGAATTTCTTTCAATTTCACTAATAGCTTTAAGCTGCTCCTGCCTCTCCTGGTTCCTGTAAGAGTCATTTAACTTAAGTTCGATAGTTTCCACTTACCTGGTCAGCGCCTCCTTTCGTGTATCAGATATTCTAGCACTCCTGAGGAGCTCAATGACTCTTCGTCGTCTTCTGTAGAGGGAGCGTCTTTCTCCAGTTTACTCCTGCTCTTCTTCTTTCTTAGGGGAATATGCCTAGAACATGCTTCGGCTGCCAGGAAGTTGATCCTTTCAAGGCACTGGTTTGGATCCATGTCATTTAAGACATCTTCCCAACATGTTTCATTTAGGACATGGTTTACCTGGTCCCAGTTGATGTTCTTGTTGTTGAAGTTGTATTTTGTGAAGACACCTTCACAGGTACATGCATTCTGCTGATCAGGACCCCTATGCATGTACGTCTGGACTTCGATTAGGTTGTGATCGGAATTAGTTGTTTTTGATATTCTTATGTCTCTTATCAGGTCCTCATTATTTGTGAAGATAAGGTCAAGTGTGTTTTCTAGTCTTGTTGGCTCCACTATCTGCTGGCTTAAGGTGTGTTTTTCGCAGAGACTTAGTAGCTCATGTGTGTGTGACCTTTCATCTGCGCTACCTCCGGGGATTGTTTCAGCTATAACATTATTTCCTACATTCTTCCATTTTATATATATATATATATATATATATATATATATATATATATATATATATATATATATATATATATATATATATATATATATATATATGTGTGTGTGTGTAACAGATTTCATTAACTATAATGAAATCTGTCAGCTTGCGGGGAGATTTTAGTAAGGCAAAGAGCATATAAAGTATTCCACTATGAGTTCGGTAACATAAAAGGTTTTATTCCAGCAGAGCCGGAGTTACTTTTACCTGACATATTACCATCTTTCAGGATGGCTTATTCGAGTCGAGTCAAAATGGAATTTGACTGTATCATTAGAAATAGAGGACTGAGAGACTAGAAATGGAAAGGCGTATGTTTGTGTGAGTGAGGGCTGAACAAGGAGCTTTGTGGGCCACTCAAGAAATGATAGGGCGGAGAGTGGGAAGGTTAGGGTGGGTTGCGATTGTGGACACTTTGGGCGGGGGGGGTCTGTGGTTGGTTGGGTTGGGTGGAGGGATCATTCCCGCTCTGACTCCCTTCCTTAGTCAGTGTTTCCCGTGGTTGCTGCCACCCAACTATGTCTCGACGCAAGCTGCACATACTTCATGAGACGCCCAACCTTGCACACTGAATCACTGCTGGATAGAAATGATTCATATATGGTGTTTCAATTTGAGGTGGATAAGTAGTTTTTCCACTTTATCCTCAAGTGTTATAGACATTGACTTCTTAGTTTACAAGTGGGCGTCTCCTGATCTTTATAATTCTACAGTACAGCGTTTTTAATTCTGCAGTTGCACAAATATTGAAATGACAGTCGCGGAGTTTTTGCCTTGCATGTAAAATCTGTCTCTTAGAATGTGTGTGTCCTATACTAGTTAACGACAGGCAGACAGCTTCCCATCCTCTCGCTGAAGCTTTGGTTTACAGACATTTGTCAGTTTGGCACAATTGACCATCTCTAATGAAAATGAACCGTACTATATAGCTTTGAATAGGGCCAGCGGGCTGCCAGCAGCAACAGCCTGGTTGACCAAGAAAGTATCGGGCAAGTCTGGCACGGGGCTGGGCTTTGGGAATAGAAAAACTCGAAACTCATCAAAGGTATAAGATATATCCTAAGTTAAATCATCATAATTTATTAACTGTTATATTGTGGGTACGGCAAGTACCCACATTATAACATCTGTATTACTATTATTATTATTATTATTATTATTATATTATTGACAAAAAATGTGCTAACACGTACTGGTCACACAGTGCTACAGTAGTCTGTAAAAAATCTGCAGTGAATGTAAATAAAGTTTATTAGCGATTAAAAGACGTGTCTCCGTTATCCCCCTGAGGCTGTGAAGGGTAGAATTGGTGTAGTATAACCCCGAGCTGCCCCTGGCCCACAGATTTTCTTTGTCTTTAATGTGCTGTGGGCTGCAGCTTTACTACTGCTCTATTCATTCTCAGCGTTGCATTTGCCCTGTCAAAGTCTTGGTTGGTGTGGGAAGTGAGGTCAGAAGGCAGATCCGGGACGAAGGGAAAACGTACACCTGGGATTAGTGTAACCCGGGTGCACATTCCATCCACCCATTCATTCTCTTGATTGATTCATTCATTTATTTTCACTAGGCACGATTACTAGCGATACATTTAGAGGTAATAACAGACATACGAAGGTCGGAGGCCATGAAGGGAGTAAATAATCATAACAGACTTCCCCACAGGAGTTGTAAGTAGTCAGTATATTTATCTCATTAAAACGTTGCCACATGGAATAACACTTTTTAGCACATGCGTTTTAAATGCATATTCCTCTAAATCAGGTATGCGTTGAATATAAAGTAAACAAATATATATGATGTGCCCTTACTCGAACACTACGGGTAGGAAAGCAGAGAATCGGACGCCGTGGGTGGGTTCTGGGGCAGACCGCAGAGGTGTTCCCGCTTGAGAGTTGACTCAGTTGTATGAGAGCATTCGGAGGGTGAGTGCTTCACTAGTGATGCTGGCTCGCTCTGTCCTGACTGGAAGCTAACTGATCTTGTTTCCTACTTCGGTATGGTGTTACCAATGTCTTGGACGTTCAGTATTTAGATGCCAAGTAGTCACGTGCTTCATGGGCATCTGATGTAGACTGCTAGATAGCAATCCAGTAAACGTTAATTGTGATAGTGATGACTTGTGGTGAGGATATGGTTCGTAGTGAACGGACAGGTGGCTGTGTGGTCCCTCTCCTCTGTTTGGGAGGAGCGGATTCTCCTGTGGTAATACGTCGTCAGGTATATACCCCTAGGAAAGTCAAGGAGATTCAGCCGCAGGTACAGCTTGCGGGAATAAAGAAGCAACCATCAGGAGCAGTGAGGGGACGCAGGCAAGGTGCTGTGCTTCGAAGGGCATCAACACGGTTAGGGAACAGCGTGAGGAAGGTCGCTACCCTGAGACGTTCCCGCAGCGAGCGTTTGTTAGCCAGGCCGGAAATTATAGAGATATCTGAACCCCTGCATGCTGAGATTGGTCGTAACTATGGTGACTCGTGCTGTGAGAATACCAAGACACTGCATGCCGTGCCTGTGCTTCGCCTGGCCAAAGTCACACGTCTAAGACATACCTCCAGTCCTGAGTGTATATCAGCATCTTGCCAAGGGGCCAAGGATGTGTCTGGCTGCAGTAGTGAAGGAGTGGAGGGTAGTAGGGGTATTCGGAGGGCACGAGTCAAAAAGTGTAAAGAGACACTTGTTTTCAACAGTTGTGTAGCCACTAAGGACCTATGGTACAACAAACTTTGTCAAGTGATGACTGAAGAGCGGGACAAGGAGCCGCCTTCGACCACTATCCAGGTCACCTACTACGACCCCGTCAACAACATCGACTTCGTAAGTATCTTTTATTTACTTTAAGCATAAACCCCTCAATGGGGGTTCCTTGACGTTGGAGAGGGGCTCTTGATCTAAGGAATTGGATCTGTGCTCCAGTTCTCTGAATTGAGCCTGAATACCTTCCATCACTCCCTCCCCCTCCACATGCGCTGTATGATCCTACGGATTTAGCGCTCCATTATTACTATTATTATTATTATTATTATTATTATTATTAAGCACATAAAACCTGATTGCTTCCCATCCCCTACCCGTTTATCGCTTCCCCTGGTTAAAATTAAGCAAATTATGTTTTAATTAAAAAATGCGAAATTACACTTTACAGGGGGGTCCTGTGCTTGAGTATGTGTAATCTTGTGCAAGTGTGAGAACTAGTGCTTTTCTAGAATATAGGAAAGCATTGGTTTGATACTAGAGTTGTAGAAGAGTCGAACAAACTCCTGAGTATGCTCAGTAAAAGTACACAAGTGCAACAGGAGCTCCTGGAGAGTGAAACTGTCACAGTAAAATGTAGCATTAGTTACACTTGTGTCCTTTTACATAACATATTGTCGGTAATTCTACCAACATTAATACAACCCCAGAGTAGCGTCATTGAAGCGAGAACCTTGGGTAGCTTTAAAAATAAGCTGGAAAAGTACATGAGTGGGTATTAGTTGAATCTGTCTATTATGGGCCACAAGGCCTACTGCAGTGTGCCTCCGTTTTTATGTTGTGGAAAATGGTGCATAAGAACACGAAGAGCACTGCGGCAGGCCTACAGGCCCATGCCAGGCTGATCTAACTCCCACGCTCTCATGTACCTGTCCAACCTATTATATTCAGTGACGCTAATTGGGAGTTTGTTCCACTCATCCACAACTCTTATTACCAAGCCAGTGCTCACCTATAGCCTTTCTAAATTTAAATTTTGTCAACTTTAACCCATTGCTGAAAATCCTGTGATGGTTAGATATTTTCAACATGTTCTTTATATCACCTTTATTCCTGTCTTCCATTTGTATACTACACTCACAACCACCCCAGCTCTATCTGTTTGGTTACAGCTTCTCGAGGGCAGAGAAAAACTAATTTTGGGTGTGATTTACAGGGCCCCAAATCTTGATAGGGAGTGCAGTAAACTTCTATGGGATGAAATTTGTAAGGCATCTACATACGAAAATGTTGTGCTAATGGGAGATTTCGATTATAGACAGATTGACTGGAGCAATTTGACAGGAAATTTAGAGTCAGGCGACTTTCTTGATACGATCCAGGATTGTTTTTTAAAACGGTTTGTGACAGAGCCAACTAGGTGAAATAACCTCCTTGACTTGGTTCTTGCCAGTAGGGAAACACTAATTAATAATCTTGAGGTTAATGATGAGCTTGGGGAAAGTGATCACAAATCACTCAGTTTTAATATATCATGGAATTCCCCTAATAATGGCAATCAAGTCTCTGTTCCTGACTTCCGCTTGGCTGATTTCATAGGGCTGGAAAATTACTTAGGTGGGCTGAACTGGAATGACCTGACTAAGGGTCAGGTAGGTGGTGATGGTTGCCGATATGACGCTTTCCAGGGCATAGTTCTAGCTGCTCAGTCAAATTATGTTCCAAATAGGGAAATCAGATCAAACAAAAATGATCCTAAATGGATGAACAATAGATTAAAATATCTAATTGGTCAAAAGAGAGGCATATATAGGCAAATCAAAAGAGGAGAGGGGCAATTAAGAAATCGATATATTCAGTTAAAGAGAGAAATAAAAAAAAGGGAATTAGAAAAGCAAAAAGAGATTATGAGGTTAAAGTTGCAAGAGAATCGAAGACTAACCCAAAAGGATTCTTTCAGGTATACAGAAGTAGGATCAGGGACAAGATAGGCCCACTCAAAAGTTCCTCGGGTCAGCTCACTGACAGTGATAAGGAAATGTGTAGAATTTTTAACACATACTTCCTCTCAGTTTTTACACAGGAGGATACCAGCGATATTCCAGAAATGATAAATTATGTTGAACAAGACGATAATAAACTGTGCACGATTAGGGTCACAAGTGACATGGTCCTTAGGCAAATAGATAAATTAAAACCTAACAAATCCCCAGGCCCTGATGAACTGTATGCAAGGGTTCTAAAGGAATGTAAAGAGGAGCTTAGGAAACCTTTGGCTAATCTTTTCAACATATTCACTACAATCACTACAAACTGGCATGGTGCCAGATAAGTGGAAAATGGCAAATGTGATACCTATTTTCAAAGCAGGTGACAGGTCCTTAGCTTTGAACTATAGACCAATAAGCCTAGCCTCCATAGTGGGAAAATTTATGGAATCAATAATTGCCGAGGCAGTTTGTAGCCACCTTGAAAAGCATAAATTAATCAACGAATCTCAGCATGGTTTTACAAAGGGGCGTTCCTGCCTTACGAATTTATTAACTTTTTCACTAAGGTATTTGAGGAGGTAGATCATGGTAATGAATATGATATTGTGTATATGGACTTCAGTAAGGCTTTTGACAGGGTCCCACATCAGAGACTATTGAGGAAAATTAAGGCACATGGAATAGGAGGAGAATTTTTTTCCTGGATAGAGGCATGGTTGACAAATAGGCAGCAGAGAGTTTGCATAAATGGGGAGAAATCAGAGTGGGGAAGCGTCACGAGCGGTGTTCCACAGGGGTCAGTGTTGGGCCCCCTGCTGTTCACAATCTACATAAACGACATAGATGAGGGCATAAAGAGCGACATCAGCAAGTTTGCCGATGACACCAAAATAGGCCGTCGAATTCATTCTGACGAGGACATTCGAGCACTCCAGGAAGATTTGAGTAGACTGATGCAGTGGTCGGAGAGGTGGCAGATGCAGTTTAATATAGACAAATGCAAAGTTCTAAATGTTGGACAGGACAATAACCATGCCACATATAAACTAAATAATGTAGATCTTAATACATGTATTACGGATTGCGAAAAAGATTTAGGAGTTCTGGTTAGCAGTAATCTGAAACCAAGACAACAGTGCATAAGTGTTCGCAATAAAGCTATCAGAATCCTTGGCTTTATATCAAGAAGCATAAATAATAGGAGTCCTCAGGTTGTTCTTCAACTCTATACATCCTTGGTTAGGCCTCATTTAGATTATGCTGCACAGTTTTGGTCACCGTATTACAGAATGGATATAAATGCTCTGGAAAATGTACAAAGGAGGATGACAAAGTTGATCCCATGTATCAGAAACCTTCCCTATGAGGATAGACTAAGGGCCCTGAATCTGCACTCTCTTGAAAGACGTAGAATTAGGGGGATATGATTGAGGTGTATAAATGGAAGCAGGAATAAATAAAGGGGATGTAAATAGTGTGCTGAAAATATCTAGCCTAGACAGGACTCGCAGCAATGGTTTTAAGTTGGAAAAATTCAGATTCAGGAAGGATATAGGAAAGTATTGGTTTGGTAATAGAGTTGTGGATGAGTGGAACAAAGTCCCAAGTACAGTTATAGAGGCCAGAACTTTGTGTAGCTTTAAAAATAGGTTGGATAAATACATGAGTGGGTGTGGGTGGATGTGAGTTGGACCTGATTAGCTTGTGCTACCAGGTCGGTTGCCGTGTTCCTCCCATAAGTCAATGTGACCTGACCTGACTAGGTTGGGTGCATTGGCTTAAACCGGTAGGAGACTTGGACCTGCCTCGCATGGGCCAGTAGGCCTTCTGCAGTGTTCCGTCGTTCTTATGTTCTTCTTATGTGTGGGAGAATATAATAATAGTGGAGCACAGAAGCAGGCTTGTATTAATATTGGTAGATTTACCGATAATATGTTAAGTAAAAGGACACAGGTGAAACTAATGTGACATTTTATGGTGGCAACGTTTTGCTCTCCAGGAGCTATGTCAAGCCTTTACAAACAATATATGAACACAGAGGGTATACATATACGTATAGCCTTTGAGTGAGGTGGTACTAGTGGACGTAGTAGTAGTACACGTGATGTGTCCATGTATTGATAAATTAGACACATGTGCAACATTTGGGTATCGTTAATGAGGAAACGTTTTGCCACACAATGGCTTTATCAGTCCATACATTGGAGAATGGTGGAGAACAGGAGGAGTTACAGGTCATCAGTCCCTCAGCCTTGAGTCGATGTGATCAGTCATCAATCTTGAGGGATTGATTACCTCTAACTCCTGTTCTTCACCATTCTCCGATGTGTGGACTGATGAGGCCACTGTGTGGCAAAACATTTCCTCATTAAAGATACCCAAATGTTGCACATGTGTTTAATTAACAGCTTGTCAGTTCTCTGAGCCATTCATCTACATGTTCATGTATCGTTTGTAACGGCTTGACAAAGCTCTTGAAGAGCGAAACATTGCCACAATAAAATGTCACATTAGTTGCACTTGTGTCCTTTTACTTAACATAGAAGCAGGTTTACTGGTCCATGGTCCATGCTAGAACAAGTCCAACTAGCCCAACCACACCCACTGTGTACCTGTACAACTTATTGTTAAAGCTACCCAAGTTCACTTCAGTGATGGTACTTGGCAGTTGGTTCCACTGATCTGCAACTAAGTTGTTAAAACAGTGCTTTCTTATATTATATCCTTCCAACACTATTTATAACCCCTTTATTTATTTCAGTTATCAGTTTGTACACTTCAGTCATAATCCCTAATTTCCTTATATAAGGATCAATTTTGTTATCCATTTCTGAGCAGTATAATTTAAATTATGCTCTACCAATGATAAAAAATTGAAGTATAATCTTAGGACTTCTGTTATAGTACTTGCTAAGAATCAGAAAATTATATTATGGTAGCTTCATTGCAAACATTTATGCACTGTTGTCTCTTCTTTAGACTTCTGTTAATCAGAATTGTTAAGTCTTTTTGATTAAAGTCTACCTTATCAAATATATAAGTATCATAATCACATTATTTCTCTTCCCATGATTAAAGCCATACATTTGCCTGCATTAAACATCATCTGCCACTTTGAAAAAACATCAACCT